TGGTTGGATGGCGGTTGGATGGCGGTTGGATGACGGTTGGATGGTGGTTGGATGGCGGTTGGATGGCGGTTGGATGACGGTTGGATGGCGGTTGGATGGTGGTTGGATGGCGGTTGGATGGCGGTTGGATGGGGGTTGGATGACGGTTGGATGGTGGTTGGATGGCGGTTGGATGGCGGTTGGATGACGGTTGGATGGTGGTTGGATGGCGGTTGGATGGAGGAGGAGCCAGCAGCCAGCTGAGGATCCAAAGCTTCCATTTCCAGCGTGTTTCCTGCTGATGGTGTGAATCGCCATCAGCACATCGGCCACACACCCACGCAGAGGGATATCACCACGGCGACTGGTTGCCATAGAAATGTTCCAATTGTGGAAAAGTTGAGAAAGGAGGGGAAAGGCAGTGGAGAATAGAGATGCTGTGATTATTTTCCCCAGCAGAGACCTGCAGGCAGGCAGCCTCCATGGCCGCCCTGCTCCACCAGGAAGGAGGAGAGAGATCAGCATCTCCTAAACTCTGGGAAGAGATTCTCCCAGAAATATTCACCCTAAAAATGTTTAAAATGTTTCAGCAGCTGACTGCTGATGAAACGTCGTCAGAGCAAACGGTTCGCGGCGTCAGAGCAACTCGGCACAGAACCCCCTCCACCCTGATGGAATACTCTCCACCCGAGTCTGTGGGTCCCTGCAGCTCCTCTCCAGCTACAGCAGATTCTAACCATTATACATCTGTCTGTTTGCTCTGGGCGGTGGGGTGGGCGGTGGGGGGGTCTCATGTCTTTGCTCACTCTGCGGTTCAGTAGCGCAGTGGGGGAAGGGAAGGTGGGTGGTCTGAGGAAAGATGGTGGTGTTCCGTTAGAACGGAATAGAACTGGGAGCTTCTATATCCAAAGTCTGTGTTCTGGACCGGATTTTCTTCTGATGATGGATGGATTCCAACCCCACAGTGATGGAGCTGCTTCTCCAGCTCCGCTCCGGTGAACCCGGATGGAAAACCCAGAAAACATCATGCAGAGCGGAACAGATCCTCCTCAAACTTTGTGTCACATCTCTCCCAGATTATCCATCCTCCTCCTGCTCTGCGGCTGAGGAGGATTATCCCGCCTCCATGAAAGTAGATCCCAGATCCGTTTGTTATTCCGGCCACTCTTTGTTGTTCTTAGGAGGAAAAGGTCAAAGTCTGGGCGGAGCCTCTGATGACCTAAAACTAAAACAGAAGTGACTGGATCCAGATGTGGCTGGATCCAGATGTGGCTGGATCCAGATGTGGCTGGATCCAGATGTGGCTGGGTCC